TGTTTCCAAAGGCCATCACATGTAGTGTCGTATGGATTGATAAATACATTGGGTTTTGGGTTTGGGTTCAGGTTTTTCACATTAATTGTATTTCCACTCAATAATTGTGGCCACTCTTCGCTTACGGTTGGTTTGCTATTAATTATAAATAAACATTTATTAAATTATAACTTATGACAATGTATTTTCTAAAAGATAACTAATTATTTACCCATATTTAGCAAAATTAGTCCACATTTTCATTAAATCTGCGCTAAATATAGCGTCGATATCGCTATAAGCGTCGGGTATTAAATACGGAAACCCGTAGACAAATGCCAATTCAGCGCAATGACAGACACCCATACCCTCTCCATTGCAACCCTCGAGATGAGCAAAATATTTGTTTTGATAAGTGACCTGGTAGAAATATACATTATGACCAGGTTGTGCATCTGTGGCCATTTGTTTGGCAAACAGATATGTCGGACATTTCATCATTAAATCGCCAAACAATTCATAAAACGCTTTCTTGAGCTCAAGTGAACTGTTTTTGTCAACATTTTGTAGATAATAGTCGTCCACACGTTTCACATCCAATCCGTGGTAAACACTGTCCGATGTTTTTGTGGACTCAATAAAGTTATTTAAAGTCAACATATTTTTGACGTAAGGATGTGATAACAGTGAGCCCTCAGTACTGGCAATGCCTGCCATTATATCGACATCTATTAAATAAAATTAATAATAATAAAATTAATTATGTTTAATTTACTAATTTAATTGTGTTAAATAATTTTGCAATATATGCCTGAATTGTATTTTTTCTCTGCGAAAGCCTTTTGGGCAGAAATGGGTAGGAATTCAGTGCCCAATACTGGATATGAGTAACCGTTTATATCAACTCCGTATTTGCTGAACACCTTTGCGTCTAATCCTCGCAAACATTGCAACCAATCGTCACTTTCGCTGCAATTCTGCTCTTTTGCTATCCGTTTGCCTAAAAGTATTGACTCGTCTTTACTAACGATATCCCTCTCCTTGTTATACATATGGGCGCCGCTCTCCATAATAGCCCTCTTGAATAGGCCTTTGGATAGCGGGGAGAGTATGTGTGCGGACACCGACCAACTCCCGG